CTTCTCCTTCTCCTTCTCCTTCTCCTTCTCCTTCTCCTTCTCCTTCTCCTTCTCCTTCTCCTTCTCCTTCTCCTTCTCCTTCTCCTTCTCCTTCTTCTCCTTCTCCTTCTCCTTCTCCTTCTCCTTCTCCTTCTCCTTCTCCTTCTTCTTCTTCTTCTTCTTCTTCTTCTTTTTTTTTTACTGGAAATAGAACTTAGGACCTTGCACTTGCCAGGCAGGTGCTCCGCTGCTGAGCTATATCCCCTGCCCTGAAAACAGATTTTTTTTTTTTTTAAAGGGCTGCGTTGTAGCTCAGTGGTAGCGCTGCTGTGGGCATGCGTGAGGCCCTGGGTTCTACCCCCAGCATTGCAGGTGGGGGGAATTGACCAGCCCCAGCCCCAAGGCCCTGCCAACAAATGACAGTCTCCCCAGAGGCTCAGTTCTAATGGGCAAAGTGGGCACTGCCACCTCCACCTGGCAGAGGGTGTGTGAGCAGGTGGGGTTCAGCCAGGACCTGCAGCAACAGCCACAGCCAACCTCACAGGACCATCAGGCTGAGATGGTGGCCTCAGGTTAGTGACACCACAGTCTGAGCTGTAGTCACACCCTCTGAACAATGGGTGAAGGGCTGGGGAGATACCTCAGTAGAATAAGCGCTTGCCTGGCAAGCGCAGGGTCCTGAGTTCAATCCCTGGTAAAAGAAAAAAAAAAAAAAGTGGATGAAGCATTTATCCCTGAAATGTGAGACCTCAGCTTCCTTCCAAGATTCTCTGGTTCTGAACTTGACCTCCAAATTCAGGCCAATCTGGAGAAAACGGGCAAGAAAAAGGGCCCTCCCTGAATCAGGACGCTGAGGGCTTCACCCAGCCCCCTGTCCCGTTTTCCAAATAAGAAAGCTGCAGCTCACAAGTGCTTTGCCCTCGAGTATAGAGCAGTGCAGTGACTGGAGAGATTCTAACCTGGGTCCTTCAGCCCCTGCTCTGGGGGCTGTCTGTTGTTTATGACCCTGTTTCAGTTATTCTCACGTTGGGCAACCAGAGTACTGTGTGACCTTGTGCAAGATGCTTGACCTCTCTGTTCTGGTTTTTGTAAAGGGTGTGAGTGGCCACCGTGACCTTGGAATTGTGGTTAGGACTCAGTGAATTCACCAAAGTCTCTTCAGAAAGGATGTCTAACAGGAATATCCCTGGGTTCTGTGAAGGTGAAGGCTTGGGTTCAGCGAAGTCAGGCACGTTCAGAAAGTCACACAGCACGCTTGAGAGGACATCAACGTGCCATGGAAGCCGAGGGCTCCCCATGAGCTTCTGTCCGGCTGGCCTTGGCAGGGGAAGAGCATGGAGGGAGGGGCCAGAAGACTAGCCAAACTCTTCAGCTCCAACAGTCCAAGTTCATGGCCGAGCAGGTGGCCCGCGTCGGCGTGGGTGGCCAGAGGGGAGACTAAGAGGAACACGCTGGGAGTCCTAGGCCACCTCGGCAGCAGCGCTCATAGCTAAAGTGCACCTTGCACGCTTTGGCCCTGTCTGGGGAGCACCGCCTACGATTGCAGCGATTCGCCAAAGAGCCTGCCTGTCTTTGGCTTCAGAGCCAATCACTGCTGCCCTTAGGGCTACTCCCTTCGTTCTTCTCTACACTGCCCCGGCAGCCCTGCCACTTTCCTTGGAGTCCCGCCCCTGTTCCATCGACATTGGTCAGGATGGCTGTCCATTTTCTGCCAAAACTCCAATCCTCGCCTTCCTTGAGGCCCTGCCTCCCAGACTCTCGCGCCCTGCGGGAACACTTCAGGGAAACCGAGCCTCTCCCAGAAGCCCCGCCTTCATCCTTCGGCGATTGGCTGCAGCAGCTGGCCATCTGCCTCAGGCCCGCCAATTCCTGCCGCCACCAGCGCCGATTGGTCAGAGGGCAACTAATAGGAATGTAGCGTGGACCCCTGCCGGGGCGCGCGCTGGGCGTTCGTGAGGCGGGGCTGTGGCGGCAGAGCAGTCGGCGGCGGCTGCGACGCGTCCGGGCAGGTGAGCGGGACACGAGGACGCGGCGCCGGCGCCGCCGGCCGCGTTGTCAGGCTGAGCCGAGGTGGTGCGCTGGTCTCATCGCGGGGCCCTGGGCGGGGGAGGGAGACAGGGCTCGACGGCTGCGTCGCCGGGCAGAGGTCAAAGTGTCCCGACCCCCTCTTGGCATGTGGTACCATGGGGCTTCCCTCGCGCGGCCACTCACCCCTGACACTTCGTCCCTGACACCCGAGGTCATCCTCCTCGCTGACACCCACGTCCCTTGGATCTACACACCCCCCGCGATGTGACACTCCTGACCCCGATCACGACCTCCCCCCCCCCAATCCCATCACCCAAGACTGTCCCTGTCCAGGACAGCCCCACTTCTGGGGCTGACCCCACCCCACCCCACCCCACCCCAGGAGCCTTGCTTCATCCTACATGCCGAGTTGTGACTCCTTTCTTTACCCCACCCCCCTTTCTACCTGGGCCTGTTCGTGCCTCCTTGCTGACATTCCTCAGGGCCAGCTCTGTGTCCCCCTTTCAGCAACCCCTTGGGGCCACCCCCTTGCTCAACACCTCTGATACCCCCTTCCATTTCTTGACCTGGCCTCACCTGTCTCCCACCTCGAGCTTTCTCCAGTTTGCACCAGAGCTGTGCCCTTCTGTCAAGATCCTCCCCATCCCTCGGGTGCCAGGAAACACCCCAGCCTTGGTGCAGGCTTGGTCTCGCGATCGTGGCGTCCCCCCAAGCCAAAGCCCACTCTACTTTTATCTTTCCATTTATACCAGTGCCCGACAGTTAGCACGTCTTTGGCCAGCTTTAGAATAATCCATGAGCCAGACCAGACCAAAATTCCCACGTTTGCCAGCAGCAACCTGAGAGCTGGGGGCAGAGCTCACCCCTGCCTGAGCCCTGCTGACCCTCTTCTGTGGATGCCCTCCTTTGGCCATCTGTACTGTTTAGGGGGGTGGCAGTGAGAACCACACCCCGTCCCTGGGCTTCTCGGGAGTGGTGACTTTGACTGATCCAGAAAGGCTTAGCGGGAAGGGGCAGCCCCTGCGTGGCTGCCTGAGCCTGTCTCCCGCCCGAGCAGGACTGGGAGCATCGGAGGCCCAGCATCTGGACGTTCCTAGGGGGAGGAGATGGGGTCGCTGTGGCCTGTGGAGCGCGGAAACACTTTTCCATGGCAGCTGAACTGAGAGGCCGCCGCCTGATGTGGTGCCGGGAATAAGGATTTAGCTGGAACTGTTCATGTCCCCTCCAATCTGATTTGCATGTGTATAGACAGGAAAAAGCTGGTGGCTTTGTCGTCGTCGCTGAAAAGCAGTAATGTTCCCTTCAAGGCTTCCGTGGCGCTGGCTGGCACCTCTCACATCGATGGTACCAGAAAGTTCCACGGGCTCACATCGCCTTAGGCTTCTGTGCACTCAGAGCCCTTGGCATTTTCCATCCAACTTCAAGCAGTGTGGGTGGGGTGTTTACAAATGCATGGTATATGCATGTAGAAGTTTATTGTGCACATGTGTATATATGTACATATGTAAATTTTATATACACATATGTGCTGTATGGAGTGAAACTTTTTCATCTTTCTGGGGATAGATCCCAGGACCCTGTGAATACAAGGTGGACACTCTATCCATGAGACACATCCTCAGCCCTTGCATAGTTGAACTTTGACAATATGATTGGTGTAGTTAAAAAAAAAAAAAACCAACCAACAGCCAAACTGTGCAAAAGGGCATACAGTTTAAAAACCAAACATGCTGAGTGTGATGGCACATACCTGTAACCCCAGCTACCAGAGAGGTTCAGACAGGAGGATTGCGAGTTTGAGGCCAGCCTGGACAACTGAGCAAGACCCTGTCTCAGCATACACGTTTGTAAAGGGTCGACTACTCCAAGGCTTCACCCCACCCAGTGCAGGGTGTGTGGGGAGCAGGGAGGCCTCTCTGCCTGCCTGAACCCTTTGCTGGATACCATCTTTGGAATAATCTGTAGATTTTCCTACTAGAGGTAGCCTGATGACTGGGGCAGGGAGTGGGTATATATCTGTCTTCCTTTCTTATTTGGCCTACAGATTGAACTCAAGGCCTTCACACTGAGCTACACTTCTAGCCTTTCTTTGTTTTGGGACAGGACCTCTGAGTCACTAAACCGGCCAGGCTGGACTTAAACTTGCAGTCCTCCTGCCTCAGCCTCCCAGATGATAGACCACAGATGTGTGCCACCCTATCTAGCTGTCTCTGTCTCTTGAACCACTGCATGGGCTGGGATGGCACACAGAGCTAGAGCAGTTGACTTACATGCATGAGGTCCTGGGTTCTATCCCAGTACCACCCCCAAAAAATATTAAGCCAATTTTTGTTATTTTGATTGGTCTAGTTTTATTTTTTTAAGACAGGGCCTCACTATGTAGTTCAGGCTGGACTGAACTTACTCTGTAGCTCAGGCTGGTCTCCAACTCTCAGTGATCCTCCTGCCTCAGCCTCTTGAGTGCTGGGATTACAGGCATGCGCCACCATGCCAGGCTTATTAAGTCACTTTTGCACGGAATGTCATTGACTGTACAGCTAGTCCCTTACCAATTGTTGTCTAAGCTGTTGTCCGTATTTTGCTGTTACAAACTGAACTGGAGCAGAAAGATATTGGCAAATACACAACCTTGTGCTGTGCTCTGGAGTCTAGGTCCAACACAGCCTTCTGGGAGCCAGGTCCAGGGTGCATCTGCTGTGGGCCGCTCAGCGTGCTGTGCCTCGCAGGTGGCCTTCCACTTCCTCCTCTGCCTGGCTCTTATCAAATTCCAATCTGTCCTGCTCTTCGATACAAACAGCCAGGAAGTCCTTTTGATCCCACGCCTCACTCAGGTTCTGGTTCATGTTGCAGGGATCAAACATTACACTTGTGTTTCTCTTCCAGTCAGGCTAAAGTTCAGGAGGCAGGGGAGTCTGCAAGTAGGGAGGGCCTCTGGAGAGAGGGCGGCTAGCCGGCACCTGGAGGGTGCTGGGATGTTGTGCCAGGTAATTAAGGAGCAGAGCTGACTGCAGTAACCGTTTAGCTGTTGTTATGTGCCTCGTGCCTCAGATGGAGCCCAGGGCCTTGTGCCTACTGCTCCATGGCTGCACCTCAGAGCCACAGTCTCACTCATTTTCTCTTTTCTTGTGTCTAGCAAAATAAAGACCAAGAGCCAGGCTCAGGGACACGTGTGGAATCCTAGCTACCAGGAGGCTGAAGCAAGAGGACTGCAAGTTCAAAGCCTCTTGGGCAACTTAGCAGCATCCTAGATCAAAACAATAAAAAGGTCTCCAAGCTGGCATGGTGGCACATGCCAGAACTCAGGAGG